ATCCCAGGCCACAGCAGAGAGCTGGACTAGAAGAGGAGCAACCGGGGCTAGAAGCGGCACACATATGGGATGTTGGCACTGCAGATGGAGGACTAACCTAGTGCGCCATGGTGCCGGCCTGGGACCTTACATCTTAACTATTAGTCTACCTGTTCCCATCCCTGTTCTATACATATAAACTACATCTGACTGGTAGCATAGTAGGTTTGTGTATCAACAGCAACTCAAAGTTGTAATTCTAACAGCTACAGTGTCACTAAGTGATGGGCATTTGTCAACTCCCTCATAGTGGGACCTCTATCCCACAGGCATTGTGTGGTGGACTGAGACATCACCGTGTAGCACAAGACTTACATATTAGAACTGCTACATATGGTGGTGTGCTGCCTCCGCCCCTCCCCGGCTCTGCGTTGGTGGTGTCACACTGTAGCTTGACATCAGCCACAGGGGATGAGCTTACTACCACGGATATCAGCAAATGCTGCGAGTCAGGGCCTGGATAGCCCAGAGAGCCCCGTGGTAAACATTCACCGGTGCTTCAAAGAGGAGCGGTCTTTCTTTTGAGCAGCTATGTGAGCAGAAGCTTGAATCAAATGTGGATGTCTGTCATTCAAATAGCCAGGGGAGAGCGATGCAGGTGCAGGCCTTCCACCAACATTTGCTTGCTGTATTCAAGGACCAGCCAGGGAACAGCAACGCTGATGGACAGGAGAAAGGTGGCAGATAATCTGGATGGGGTTGAATAAGGAGAAGTGTGAAGCTACGGTAAAAGGTACAGATTTTATTCTAAGTACATTATGAAGCCATGGGAGGGTGGAAATCAGGAGAGGGACACGCTCTGATTTATATTAACAGGGATCACTATAATGTGGCGAGTCGACTCAGGTGCGGCTCTAAATTTAAGAATTGAAGTGAGAAAGAGAGAGAAAGAGAAAGGGGAAGGGGAAGGAGTTAGAGAAAGATATCACCCATCTTACTAATTCACTCTCCCAGTGCCCTCCATAGCCACTGCTGGATCAGGACCAGACCTCGCTTGTTGGAAACACACCAGAACCATGGATAGCTGCCACCCTGCTGACATTAGCTGCAGGCAACACAGACTGTGTGGTCATTCCCAGGAGGGCTCAGCCCTGTCCGAGCCTCTCCACCTTCCCTGCACCCTTGCAGTTAAGTGGGTTTATTTGATGGGCTCCAGCTGGGGAAATGTGAGTGCAAGTGATACATGCCACATCCAGGCAGAAGCGCTTAAGAGTCAATGTGTGACCTGCACACTTCTCCCGCTCCGTGGTGACTGCAGAGACCACGTGCTGAGATGAGGGCACCACCAGATGGAAGGCTCTGAGCACTGAGTGACAGAGCGGGACACAGCGGCCGCTGACTTACCCTGGACCTGTAACCAAAGATAGAAGAACAAGTCTGCTTCCCTAAGTCCTGAACCGCAGTGACGAACTTACTCCTTCAGCTGCTCAGCATAGCTAACATTTATGGAGCCAGGCCCCGTGCTAGGCATCTCCCATGTGTTTTCTCATTTAAGCCTCTCATCACCCCTCTGGGGTGGAACCTGTTACTGTTTCTGCTTTAGAAAGAAGAGAACTGGGGGGCTGGTACTGTGGTGCACTGGGTTAAGCCACCACTTGAGAAACAGGCATCCCATGCCGGAGTGCTTGCTTGAGCCCTGAAAGCATTGCTTTCATTTCAGTCCCCTGACGATGCACCTGGGGAGGCAGGAGAAAATGGCCCAAGTGCCTGGGCTCCTGCACCCATTTGAGAGACCCAGTGGGGTTCCTGGCTCCTGGCTTTGGCCTGTACCAGACCTGGCCTTTAAGGCCATTTGGGGAGTGAACCAGCAGATGGAAGATCTCTCTCTCTCTCTCTCTCTCTCTCCCCTCCCTCTCCCTCTCTCTCATGCTCTGCCTTTCAAATAAATACATCTTGGAAGGGAGAGAGGGAGGAACCAAAACTAAATAAAGTAGAACGAGTTGCCCAGGGTTCCCCCAAAAGAATAAAGGATGACATTAATATCCAATCACAATCCCAGGCAGCCTGACTCTAGAACTTTCTCTGTTCCTACCTGGAAAGACCCGATAGCCACGCGGCTTTGTTCATTTCTTTACCTGTTTATTGGGCACTTACAGTGCTAATCTCTGGGCAGACAAAGATAAATAAGACACCATTCCTGTTCTCCAAGAGTTCAGAGTCCCATAGGGAAGAGATCATAAAGAATTATAATAAAAATGATCTACGGGAAACACAGATGAGAGAGGAACATGCTAAAAGACATCAGAGATGCTATCAGCAAAATTCAGACAAGCGGCCATATTAACAACAAATAAATGGCAAGGAAATGAGTAGAATCTATAGAGTAAAAGAGACCCCAAATATTTTCTAACCAATGGGAACATTATTCAGCTTGTAATTCAAGAAAACTGTAAAACCACAGGTCTCACCTAAATTAAGAGAAAAAAAAAAACAACTAGTAACTTCTCTGTATTATCAAACGTCCACGTAGTATTCAAACATCCATGTATCTATTAAGTGACTTGATTGTTATTTTATAGGTTATATCTCAACTTCCTTCCAATTTCTTTGTTGTTAACATTTCAGAGACATGTGCCAAGTCATGTATAGATGAGGACAGGATGTCCGGAATCGTCTTCGGAGTAGCACAGGAGGGTTAGCAGCGGGTGAATGCAACAAGTCTGGCCATGCATTGATCACTATTGAGCCCTACAATAGTCACAGGAGAATCAATTTAGTAAATATTTAAAACTTGGCATAATAAAATGTTTTAGAATTCTTCCTGGGCTGGATAGAAAGGACCTGCAGGCATTTGCTGACAAGGTGTTTAGGGATGTCGGGAAGCCGTCCAGGAAGTTGGGACAGCCACAAGTGAAAGAGTGCTTAGGCAGCAAGGCAGCAAACACAAACATATCATCGTGAACATCACCTCAGCTTATCCGTGCCAAGGACGGCTGACATTTCTAACAAGAGCCAGCTGTTACCACGTGAAACAGGGGGTCAGAGTTCATGGAACTTCCTGCTCTGGGCACGCAGAAATGGGCTGAGCAGAGCAGAGGAATATTATTTTATTTTTTTAATTTCAGAGGCTGAGACACACAGAAAGCGAAAGGGCAAGGGGTTAGAGAAAAATATCCTCCATCTTACTAATCCACTCTCCTAATGCCCACAGATAGCCACTGCTGGATCAGGACCAGAGCCAGGAGAGTAATCCAGGTATTCTGTGTAGGCGTCAGGAACCCAATTATTTGAGGCATCGTTGCTGCCTTCCAGGGTCTACATTGGCAAGAAGCTGGAGGCAGGAGCTGGAGCCAGGGTTGGGACCCTGGTACTCCAATGTAGAATGAACATCTTTCCTACATGCACGCTCCCAAGTGCAGGGGATCGGCCACTCGCTTAGGAAAAGAGGAAACCCAGGGCAAGAATCCTGGCTCTGTCCTTCCCCAGCCTACGTCTCCGAGAAAGGCTCTCAAATTGTCAGTGTATCTGTTTCCTTGTCTATGAGACAAACGGCCCTGCGGTCTTCCCAAACAACTTTCATTATTCCATCTGGGGTTCCAAAATACATGCGTGGAAAATCTTCAGCACTTAGTTTCTCTTTTGTTCTTCCTGGCGTCCCAGCACCATCGTCCCAGCATCATGGAAGGGACTGAAAACAGTCCCTTCCCGGTCCCCCGCAGCGCCGCCTCTGAGACAAACTGCGTGCACCTGCGGTTTTGTGTTGGACGCCTCCCAATCCGTCCCACCGGTGTAGGAACCTGACTCTCCCCACTTCCTTCTGTCTGAAATTTTTCTCGGCTACTCTTGCCCTCGCTAATTTCTTCATCATTGTTACGCTCCTATCTGAGGGTCCTCCTCCTTGGGTCCCTGCACCTGCACGGGCCCCGGGGCCCGGTGGATGGGGACAGCCTCGGGACCTCTTGGACGGAGCCCAAGTCGAGGAAGTCCCCACGCACCTGAACCCCGGCGCAGGGGCGCTCTTGGGCTGCTCCCCGACCCCGCGGGCGCACCTGCGCAGGGCAGAGGGGTGCGCTCAGCGCCGCGCGGTCCCTGCCCCCGGGAGGGGCGGGCTCTGCCGCCGCAGGCCCCGCCCCGGCCGCCGCGCCCCGCCCCTCCGGAAGGGCCAAGGCGCCTCTCCGGTACCCCGGCGCAGACGGCGCGAGATGGCGACGGCGCAGAAGGCGGTGGCGGCTCCGGGGGGCAGCGGTCCCGACCCGGACACGCAGCTGGACCAGGAGGCGGCGCGGTGGCTGCGCTGGGACCAGGTGCGCGGCGACAGGGGCTGGGAGTCTCCTCCCCGCCCACCCACCGGGCTGCGCGGGCCCCACGGGAGGCGGCGGCGCCAGGCCCCGCAGGCGCGTGCAGGCTCGGAGTCAGTATCTCAGAGGCGGCCCTGGGTTGGAGCTGCGGCTTCCGTGGAGGGCACCGAGCAGGGGCGGGCCGCCGACAGCGGCTCTCCGGGCTCCGGATGGCCGAGGCGCGCATGCGTCGCCGTCCCCCGGCCAGCGGGCGTGTCCTCTGCCCGGGGCTCTGCATCCTTCTGAGAGCCGTGACCGCGTGCGCCGCTCCCAAGGGCTTGCGTCCCAGGACACGGGTGGCCCCGAGGAGCACGCTGACGTCCGAGGAGAGAGAGCCCAGCCTCGCTCGCCCCCTTAGTGGAGCAGAACGTGGCGGCTCTCCACTCTCTGCTGCTCCTCTCCAGGCTCTGAGCTCACACGTGGCTGACCCCGGCCTCTCTCGGCCGTCCTGGCCCCCAGGTGTCCTGGCCCCCAGGTGTCCCCTGCTTCTAAGACGCTCTCTGAACCGCCTTTCTTTTCCTTTCCTTACGGCGATTGGCGAGCCAAAAGCCAACACTTGTCTGTACATCTTTGTTAATGCCTGTGTGTGGTACAGGGACCTGTGCAGCTTCCAAAAGGGCCCACTTTTGATCGAACGCCCTGCTGCCTTTTTTTTTTTTTTTTTTTTTGACAGGCAGAGTGGACAGTGTGAGAGAGAGACAGAAAGGTCTTCCTTTGCCGTTGGTTCACCCTCCAATGGCCGCCGCACTGCGGCAGGCGCACCACGCTGATCCGATGGCAGGAGCCAGGTACTTATCCTGGTCTCCCATGGGGTGCAGGGCCCAAGTCATAAGCCATCCTCCACTGCACTCCCTGGCCACAGCGGAGAGCTGGCCTGGAAGAGGGGCAACTGGGACAGAATCCGGCGCCCCGACCGGGACTAGAACCTGGTGTGCCGGCGCCGCAAGGTGGAGGATTAGCCTAGTGAGCCGCGGCGCCGGCCCCTGCTGCCTTTCTTGAAAGTCTTCATAGTTGAATAAGGAGTTGCCCATTTTCATTTTGCACTGGACGCCTGCAAATCACGACAAGCCAGTGTGGCCCGCTGTCGCTAATGGCCATGGCCAGGGCTTAGAGTTCTGGGCATGGAGCCCACGCCCCGCCTGCCTGCAGGATTTGTTGAGTGGTGTTGCAGCCCGGTCAGCAGAGGCCGGGGCTTGGTCCCTGCTTTGCATTCTTTGGTCCTGTAACTGCAGTGTCAGCGAATTCCGGTTCCAGGATGCCATGGGCAACTCCTTGGGCACTTTTTCCTTTCCTGGAAAGGTTACCTTGTGATCCTAAAGGAAGGAAGAGTTGCCATGACTGCAGCTTAGTAACTTGCAGAGTTAGTGACACATTGTTGCACAGATGTGTCCATTTGAAGAAAACAACCTCTGACTTCTACAGATGATTCATCTGTTTGGAGACAGTGTTTCCCATGGTAGAAGTAAGGGGATGCTGTCCTTTTTTATTTTATTTTTTTTAAATACTGTTCACGGGTCTTCCTCGTTTCTTACTGGCACGAGACAGGCACCTGTCTGGGCAGGGGCCATTCATCCTCCAGTGTGGAACTCCCGCCAGGTAAGAGCATCAGTGTGCTCTAGTCTACTGTCCCCCCAAGACTGGCACAGTGACCTGGCAGGTGCATTTTGCACTTCCCACTGTGCCTCCCTCTCTGATTTTTTTCCCCTGCTCTTGGTTTTTGTTCCTGCCAGAGACAATGCTGACCTCAGCTACTCTCCTTTTTAAAGATTTGTTTGTTTGTTTGAAATGCAGAGATTGGGGGAGAGATCTCCCATCCACTGATTCACTCCCCAAAGGGCTGCAAGGGTGAGGGCTGGTCCAGGCTGAAGCCAGGAGGCAGGAGCTTCCAGGTCTCCCACATGGGTGCAGGGGCCATCCTCCGCTACTTTCCCAGGTGCATTAGCAGGGAGCTGGATCAGAAGTGGAGCAGCTGAGACACCAACCTGCGCCCATATGGATATAGAAGTTTAACCTCCTATACCACATTGCCGGCCACTCAGTTGCTCTCTTGATTTTCATTTTCTTTGTGCCTCCTTTGTCTCTCTCAAGTTGTGTGGTATGTTATATATTACAAAAATCAATTAGGATTTTCCAAACCTATACTGTGAATGAGAGACTCACACGTCATTGGGTGTGACTGTGAAGTCACATACACTTTGAGCCTCTTTTGTGTGCCAGGTGTTAGTGCCTCCTTGGGGGCACTTGACAATTTGATGGGAAGACTGTGATCTGTGATTAGCTTTTTTTTTTTTTTACAGTTTTATTTATTTATTTAAGAGGTAGAGTTACAGACAGTGAGAAGGAGAGACAGAAAGAAAGGTCTTCGTTCCATTGGTTCACTCTCCAAATGGCTGCAATGGCCAGAGCTGCGCTGATCCGAAGCCAGAAGCCAGGTGCTTCTTTCTGGTCTCCCATATGGGTGCAGGGGCCCAAGCACTTGGGCATCTTCTACTGCTTTCCCGGCCATAGCAGAGAGCTGGATTGGAAAAGGGGCACCTGGGACTAGAACTGGCACCCATATGGGATGCCAGCACCACAGGAAGAGGATTAACCTTCTGCACCACAGAGCTGGCCCCTGTGATTAGCTTTAACCATTGCTTTTAACCAAAAAAAAATGGGATTTTATTTGGCTTCTGTTAAACCTGGAACAATCTGGACATGTGGGCTTAACTCCAAAAATCCAAGGCTTTATTGCAGTTGCATTTGAGGTTTAACTATGTGGACCATTCCTGCCAAGTGCTCATCTCTCTGATGATGGCTATAAAATAGAAGTCAAGTGCTTACTCTATTGTTTCTCTGAATTCCTAATTTAGTAGTCTGATGTGCAGTCAATGTGATTGTCATTTTGTCCAGTTTAACCATTCCCATCAATTGTAAGAAAATGAAATTAAAAGATAAGTTTGTTTTGGTAAGAAGTTTGGCACTTCTGATAGCTTTGTTATACTGTGCATTTGAAGACCCCTCCTAAGTGCAGATTTCAAAACAAAAATTTTACACTAAAATAAACTTAGTTCTGTTTTCCACAAACTTTTTAACATAGCCTCATAAGAAAATGTATAATGAACTTAAAGTGATTTATGTTAGGGTCTATTTGAAACAGTTAATGTCACAGAAAAGGCACTCGTTAATGCTTAAGCCATTGGGGGGAGTTGGAGACTTTTGGTGTTTTGCTGCTGTTGTTTTAAGATTTATTTTTAAGGCAGAGTCTGAGAGAGGGAGAAACAGAGAGAGAAAGAGGTCTTCCGTCTGCTGGTTTACTCTCCAGTGGGCTGCAGTAGCCGAGCAATGTCTATGCAGTTTAAGCCTGCCACTCATTCTCCCAGGCTTTCCCATCTAGAAGGTGGAGTTTTCCTTATTTAACCTGATTCTTGGAGATGCTGAAAGATTCAGTCTTGCCCAGATACATGAACACATTTTACAAATGTTAAAACATGATAAAAGTAAGATTTAGATTTACATCATGTCATCTATCACTCTGGAAAATTTTGAGAACATGAGGGAAGAACATGAACATTTAATCCCAACTAAGTGCCACTCAGCGATATTTTCCATTAACTTAATGTAAGCCACGTGAAAACCTTGCAAGCTGTGTAAGGGAGGTCTAGATTGTCCCCATTCTACAGATGGGAAACCAAGAATTCAAGAAGCTAAATATTCTGCTCAAGCACATTGAGTTGGTAAATGGTATGTGTGGGATCCCATTCTGGGTGTTAGACTGCTATATTAAACCTGTACTCATTCCATCCCTTCAACAGTGCTTGCCTTGGTAGGGGAGAATATAGTATTTCCACTATGATGTCAGACACACCAACTTTATGTTGTAAATTTCAAAAGCATCAGAAAATTGAGGTGTCAATACATATATTTTCCTTCTGCAGATTAGAATTACTGTGGGGTTCTTTTACATTCCATGTTTTTTTTGTTTTCTTACTCTCCCGGCTGCACCTGGCATCAGCATCTCTTGTTTTGCAGAATCCTTTAACTTTGCAGTCAGTGAAACAACTAATTGCAGAAGGAGATAAAGAAGAACTGCAAAGATGTTTTGGGGCCCGCATGGAGTTTGGGACAGCTGGCCTGCGGGCGCCTATGGGCGCAGGAATTTCTCGTATGAATGACTTGACCATCATCCAGACTACGCAGGTACCACTTTTTTATTATTATTATTCTTGGTACTCGTAATGTATCCCCTGGCCACTTTTGTATTTCACAGATCTAATTTGTTTTAACTATGGTTGTGTATTATTGGGCTGGCTAAGCACAGAGAATGACTACCATTTACTCCACAGCTCAGCCTCGTGGTTGGTTGAAGTGGTACTTACTTGAAAACTCCTACAGTCACTCATTCATTCAGCATTCACTTAGCAAAAATGGAGAATACTTCTCAAAATTCATAGAAAATGGAAGTAAAACATAAGATTATTTTGGTGCAAAAATTTTTGAAGTCTGTGTAGTTTTTTTTATAACATGCACTTCCCGTGAGATTTTTGAAGATCCCTTGAATGCATGGATTTCAAAATTTCTTGCCTGAGTTGGACATTTGGCACAGCAGTTAAGATGCTGCTTGGGTGCCTGCATCCAACATTTTAGCCACCAGAAAGAATTGCCAAGAGTCTGTTGTAGTTGGTTTTAATTTATGGCATGGATTGAAGTTGTTACTGAGTTCTCTTGCCTTAATTTATGAATGTTGTTGTCAGAGTGTGGACTTGACTTTTGGGAATAAAGGTAAAGACTTGGAGAAAGTGGAAGAGCTGCCACTCAGCGTTGGGAGCTGTTTATGAGGAAAATGAGAACAGATTGTTTTCACTGTTTCTTCTACTACTTAGATTTCTTAAAAATGAACATCACTTCCATTCTGGGAAAGGCTAGAAAACGTGTCAAATGATGGTGATATGTGCCTTCCTTATGCATCCCTGCATAAAAGGCAGAAATTGGGGCGAGGGGGAGAGAAAAGGATTATATTGATTTTTTTAAAAAAAGATTCATTTATTTTAAAGTCAGAGTTACACAGAGAGAGAAGGAGAGGCAGAGGCAGAGAGAGAGAGGTCTTCCATCCACTGGTTCACTCCCCAGTTGGCTGCAATGGCCAGAGCTACGCCAATTCGAAGCCAGGAGCCAGGAGCTTCTTCCAGGTCTCCCATTTGGGTGTAGGGACCCAAGGACTTGGGCCATCTTCTACTGCTTTCCCAGGCTACAGCAGAGCTGGATTGGAAATGGAGCAGCTGGGTCTCAAACCAGTGTCCATATGGGATGCCTGCACTACAAGCAGCGGCTTTACCTGCTACGCCACTGCACCGGCCCCGATTATATCGATTTTTATAACCTAGCTTTGAAGGTCACATAAAGTCACTTACTTCTGCCATATTCTATTTGTTGGGCTTATACTCAAGACACAGTCTAGACTCAGTTCCCATTAAAGGAATGTCAGGGTCATTTTGTGAAAAGAACCTCATGAGATGGGATATATTGTTGTGGCTATATTTGGAAACATCCAGTTGGTCACACCCGGTATTGCACCTAATTGTTAAAGGGTTCTAAGGGATTCTAGATGAACCCTAGGGCCACTTCTCCATATTCATCTATGTCTAGTTCCTAAGAATGATGGAACGCATTCCCAGGAAGGTCTTAAGACCTAACTCGACTACCTGCTTCCTCAGAAGAACTGTTCTCTTCTGGGTAGGTAGTTAAGAATCCTATAAAAGGTCGTTTGATTCAACTGACCACCCTTGGGATAATCTTTACAGCCCACCCACTGTGAAGAGGTCCCGTGGCCTGCACTGGGACACTTACCACAGGAGACAAGGATGTTGTTCATGGTGAAGAACAATTGTATGCGGGCAACAAGCGCACCTTTAACATCTTGGGAATGATTGCAGAGGGGGGAAGGTTGGAGTGCTAGATCAGTCTACTCAGGCCTCCACCCCCCACCCCTGCCCCACCTTGGGCTGCTCCCTATTGGGATGCTGATGTACAAATGTGTTGGTCACTGATGGCTGTTCTCACTTCCTCTGTGCCATGAGCGTGCTGCCTGCTGGTCTGCAGGTGCAGAGTCTCATCTAAATGGTGGCACCACGTTTGCCTGGTTGATTCTAAGAAGCAGGTGTATGTAAGTCAGGCACATCTCAAAGGAAACAAGACAGAACTGGAGGTAAACTTTTGAACTGTCTGCTTCATTGGTAGAGGGTACAGTTTCCCTTTGCCAAGTAAATTATGCGCTATATGTGCGCTCCTGGATTACTCAATCCAGCATCAGCACGTCCGCTAGGGGGAGCCCACTGTCCTGTGAAGCTGCCCGTTCTTTGGGGTGTTCTCATGAAAAGATGTCTCATTACTTTGAGCCCAAATCCTTCTTTCTGTAGCCTTTACACATTTATAATAATTATACTTTTTGAAGGCAAATAAGCATGCTCCTTTTATTTTACAGTAACATTTTCATTCTGAAAACCCTCCATACCCCAACTGAGATCAAGAATCTTATCCGCTTGGGATCTCATCCCTTGCAAGCCCCAGAGGTTTCTAGGGAATTTGGAGACGTGAGGATGTTCGACTAAACCTCCATGCTTTTTGCCTTGAATACTTTTTGCCTTGAATACTCGGGCCACAGCACAGGAGTTGGCCAGGGAGAGTGCTGGGTGATGTCACCACTACCCCTGTGGACTGTCAGGCATCTGGGTGCATTCTAGGGAACCCACAAAACCGATGCACGTGTGTCCTTATTTCCTTGTCTCATTCAAGGAAGATGTGGCCCACACTGTGCTGGTGAAGGAGAGACTGTAGCCTCCTAAATTGGCCCTGCTGTGCCCACACGGCTGTGAAGTATCCTCTAGCAAAACTAAGACTGGTTTTTACTTTCTGCAAGACTCCTGTAGCCAAAGTACAATAAGTGATAGAAACCACCGTCATTTCCCAGTCCACCAGAGTCCTCTCTGCTCTGTAATAATACCCAGTAATATAAATGTACAGAGTTCAGAGTCCAGTCTCCTCCTCTTCCACATTGCAAACCGACGTGACGTTATGGAAGAGTGTGTGTCCCGTCATTTCTGGGCTGACGGGGTAGCCCCAAAGTGCACCATGCTTATTCCTGTGGTTAGTTGTGCCCTGTGGTTGGCATGATGATGGCCTCGTTTAGACCGCATCCCTGCTGGAAAGCAGTATCTCAAATGCTACAGATCATTTAATTGTAAAAATCATAAAAACTTTTTGAGTTTCTTTGACTTACTGATGTTACAGAGCAGGCAGAAATGTCTGCAGGGTCCCCCCAACCTCCCACCACCATCGTCATCCAGATATTTTAGAAGTGACGTATGGGAAGGAGCATAGACTTTGAAGGAAAATAATAAAAATAATGCTCATAGTGACAGTCACGTAGTGTGTAGTTAATGTTGAAATCCAGCACTCACCATGTTTTAGTTTGACTCTTTTCCAGCCCTATGAGGGAGGTACTGTTATCATTCCTGTTTTACAGAAGAGGAAACTGAGGCACCTGTCACTTGCGTGTAGGTGGCAGGGTGGAGTACAGATCCACAGGTTCTGGCTCCAGAGCATGTACCTAACCCCACACTGAGCCTCCTCCCACCAGACCTGGCTGCAGATCCGGGCTCTGCTGCTCCTGAAACTGCCAGTTTTTCGTCTGTACGATGGCATTTCTTCGCACAGTTCTTCTAGGGCTGCTAGTAATAGACACTAAATGCCCAACAGCGTCTGACAGACAAGGACAACAAAGCTGCTAATTTCCTTTTGCTCCATTTGTTTCATTACTGAAAAGTTATGAAGTTCTCTGGTGAAAGCTGAGGAACTTGATTTTTGGCTATTTTTTTCCATATCATAGATATAAAAGAGGTGTTAACATGTCTACCTTTTAATTGATGCTGTGTTTTCAGGGCTTTTGCAGATACCTGGAAAAACAGTTCAGTGACCTGAAGCAGAGAGGTGTTGTGATCAGCTTTGATGCACGAGCTCACCCACCCAGTGGAGGCAGCAGCAGAAGGTATTTGAACATTGTAGGAAGTGAATTTTTTGTAGTTTATTTTATAATTCAAATTTCAGTATCGTAACTTTCAATAAGTTTCTTAATGACATGGTGTAACTATAAAAATCATGAGCGAATTCTGTTTGCAACTTTTAAAAATCTAGTTTTATATTTGGATGAAGAAAATAAAATTTGGGGGCTGGCACTATGGTATTGCAGGTAAAGCTGCTGTCTGCAGTGCCAGCATACCATATGGGCACTGGTTCAAGTCTCAACTGCTCCACTTCCAATTCAGCTCCTTGCCAATGTGCCTAGGAAGGCAGCAGAAGTTGGCTCAAGTCCTTGGACCCTGCAGTTGTGTGGGAGACCTGGAAGAAGCTCGTGGCTTCAGATTAGCCCAGCTCTGGCCATTGTGGCCATTTGGGGAGTGAACCAGCCAATGAAAGACCTCTCTCTCTCTCTCTCTCTCTCTCTCTCTCTCTCTTGCTTTGCCTCTGCCTCTTTGTAACTTTGAAGGCGAGAGAGAAGCTGTGCCTCTGAGGAATGAAAGTATGTAAGCTGCATTCACAAGAGGGTGATGTGGTGTAAACCAGTGTGTCAGCCGGCCAATTCAGAGTGAACACACGGTCAGAACCAGACCCTGAGTACATTCCGCTGCCCTGGGGCCAGGTCAGGTCCTGCAGCAAGGCACTCACAGCACATGCAGGGGCAAACCTGCCTGGCTAGCTTCCCATGTTTCGTCAGTGTGGCTAGTCTGCTCTGCTTCTGGGTGACACATCCTCCAGTTATGTTGCTGTTGCCAATTAAGATCCAGATATTTCTCTCTCTGGCTTGGAGCTGTATCGTTTCCTTACAGGGATTGGTGTTCACTGATTCTGTTTCAGTTTGTGGCTCAAGTCTCAAGAGTTGCATGGAACAGAGCAGAGCCCAGAGCTGCTCTATCACCTGTAATGTGCAAGACATTTGGAGATTGTAACATTAGATCAACAATGCTAACACATTCTGGATGGGGAAATGGAATCTTCCCAGAGTTGAAGCTCTTAACCTCAGAATTTTACTTCTGCAAATGTTTATTAGTTTAAACTTATAATTTTAAATATCTGGGGGAAAGCATGAACAGTAACTGTTAACCATATGCAGAGAGCATATAGAATATTTTCATGTGTGTTTCTAACTTTACATATGAGGGGGCTTCAAAAGGCTCATCCAAACTTCATATTCTTTAATTCTATTTTTCTATGAATTTTTGAAGCATGTGTGTATGTGCACACTCACACACACACAATCTCAAGTGTGTGTTGGGTTGTCCTTTGCTGACTTTAAGACAGAGTCTTTAGGCCGGCGCCTCAGCTCACTGGGCTGATCCTCCATCTGCGGCACCGGCACCCCAGGTTCTAGTCCTGGTTGGGGCGCCGGATTCTGTCCTGGTTGCTCCTCTTCCTGTCCAACTCTCTGCTGTGGCCCGGGAGGGCGGTGGAGGATGGCCCAAGTGCTTGGGCTCTACACCCGCATGGGAGACCAGGAGGGAGCACCTGGCTCCTGGCTTCGGATCGGCACATTGCGCCGACCATGGCGGCCATTTGGGGGGTGAACCAATGGAAGGAAGATCTTTCTCTCTGTCTCTCTCACTGTCTAACTCTGCCTGTCAAATAAAAAAAAGAAAAAAAAAAAAGATCCATGGGAGGAGACAGTGCATGACCTGACGGTTTAATTCTGTAGTGGTATCGTGTGGTTCACTGGAAATAGATTACTCGTTTGTTGGGGCAAAGTGTCATCCCAAGCATGAAGATTTGATGTCATCAAATCCTGATATCTTGAGCTAAGCTAGTTGCTATGGAAGTTGAGAAAAATGTCAGAGATTTAAGTCTTCAGTCTTAAAAGATTGATTGGAACCCAGATAATTTTGTGTGTGTGTGTGTGTGTGTGTGAGAGAGAGAGAGAGAAAGAGAGAGAGAGAAAGAGAATTTTTTTGTTAAGATTTATTTATTTATTTGAAAGGCAGAGTTACAGAGAGGTAGAGAGAGAGAGAAAGGTCTTCCATCCGCTGGTTCATTCCCCAGATGACCTAAATGGCTGGAGCTGGGCCAATCCGAAGCCAGGAGCCAAGAGCTTCTCCCAGTTCTCCCACATGGGTACAGGGGCTCCAGGACTTGGGCCATCCTTTACTGTTTTCCCAGGCCACAGCAGAAAGATGGATTGGAAGTGGAGCAGCCAGGACTTGAACTGGTGCCCATATGGGATGCCAGCATTGCAGACAGTGGCCTTATCTGCTACACCACAGCACCAGCCCCAGGAGAGAGAGTCAGTCTTATATTTCAAATAAAACCTTAGTGACCATATCTGGTCTGTGGTGTATATGGATGGTGGTGGGGTGGGTTAGGGTTCTTTAGCCTCTGTCTTGTTGACATGGGGCTTCACACTTGCTGTGTGATTCTTTTTAAGGTTTATTCAAAAGGCAGAGTTATGGGGAGCAGGGCTGGGGAAGAGATTCTCCATCTGCTGGTTCACCCCCAAAATGGCCACAACAGCCAGGACTAGGCCAAGCTGAAGCCAGGGACAAAGAGCTTCTTCCAGGTCTCCCATGTGGAGAGCAGAGACCCAAGCACCTACACCATCTTCTACTGCTATCTCAGGCCATCAGCAAGGAGCTGGATCAGAAGTAGAGCAGCGAAGACATGAACTGGTGCCGACATTGCAGGCAGTAGCTTAACCTTGTTATGCTGTGATGCCAGCCCCGTGTGATTCTCTGTTGCATCCTATGTGTGCATTGAAGGGTGGTAGTGGCATCTCTGGGGCTCCATCCATCAGCTGCTGGGGCACCTCTCACTTCCTCCCCAAACCCCAGACATCTCAGATGCTGCATGGGGGACAGAATTCCCTGGCTGAGAACCACTGAGCTGCACAGGAGGGAAAACACGCGAGTGTGGGCCCAGCTCAGCTGCTAAGTGGCTGTTGTGCACAGAGCAAGGTGCCTGGCCTTTCATAGCATTTGTTCCAATTCTCTAAAATCAAGGGGTGCCATGAGATGACTCCTAGGGGTCGTCCTGCTTTACTCTTCTGTGACAGTATAAATAGTCGTCTCCTAAGTATTTCTCTAATCTGGCTGTTAGAGTCAACCCTCGCAAGTGCTCTTTCCGTTGTCCGCTCCTGACCACCTGTCTCCTGTTTTCTTCCCTGCCACTCTGCATCTCCAGGTTTGCCCGACTTGCTGCAACCACATTTATCAGCCAAGGGGTTCCTGTGCACCTCTTTTCCGACATTACCCCAACCCCCTTTGTGGTAAGTAACCGTTTCCTGCTAGCATTTCCTGTCACCGGATCCGGGATGGGACTTGGCGGAGTTTGACATTCTAGAGCACTTGAGCGTGTGTCAGCTGTGCTGTCTTTTCTCCCTGGGAAGATTCCTCACACATTCTAGTAATATTCCTCTTATAGTCCACTTTCAATTCATCAGCTTTTGCCTGCTTTCTAAAGACAGTTCCAAGAGTTAGCAAAATGGTTTTTTTTTGTTTGTTTGTCATTTTATTTTTTCATTTAGTTAGTATAGTTGACCCTGAACAGCCTGGGGTTTGAAATACACCTGTCAACTTATATGTGAATTTTTTTTTGAAATTTGCAACAATTTGAAAAAAGGCACAAGTGAACTGCCTAGCCTAGAAATACCAAAAACAAAAAAAATAGAAGTTAGGTATGTCATGAATATGTAAAATATATGTGGATAATAGTTGATTTTTCATTTACCACATAAAATATGCATAAATGGGGAGTGGGCGTTTGGTACAGTGGTTAAGCTGATGCTTGGAGATCCTCTGTTCCTTATTGGAGTGCCTGGATTCAAGTCCTGGCTCCACTCTCCATTATAGTTTCCTGCTAATGCACACCCTGGGAATGCGAATGCACACCCAGCGCTGGCTCAAGTACTTGGGTCCCTGTCACGCATGTGGGTGATACAAACTGAGTTCCAGGCTCCTGATCTCAGCCTGACCAGCCCTGACTGTTACAGGCTATTCGGGAAATGAACAGCAGATAGGAGATATTTTCTCTCTTTCTCTCTCTCTCACTCTGCCTTTCAAATAAAGTAAATAAATGCTAAAATGTGTTCATACTTGAGAAAAACATCAACGAATGTAAGAACTGTCATAAATGCCATAACTGTGTAAAACTAACTATAGTACTAAAGTGATAACTTCATAGCCACCTCTTACTTTGCTGTGAGCTTAAGCATTGTAGGAATCTGCTTAAAACACGTGACACCAGTTGCCTGTCCGTGAGCAGCTCATCTTACCTGTAACTTGGCTGTAGCAGTGAAAAGTGATCTCTCGTAGTTTTTGCCTGTTTCTTGCTGTATGCAATATATAAAACATGCAAAATGCATGCTCTTCAGTTGTCTGTGTTATCCACAAGGCTTCTAGTCACTGGCAGGGAGCAGAAGTCATGTGCATTTTGAACTGTGTCAGATGATGGGTGCCCTTCTCCCCTGACGTTGTTCAAACATCAGCTGTAGTTCTTTTTCCCAGCGACCACAGTTAAGAACTTCTTAGGTCACGTCAGGCCCCATGGGACAAACATTCCATCCTCAATACTCCTCCTGGCTAGTGGAGAGCGTGCTTGCATATTCTGGTAACACTTTCATCAGAGCCTTAATGCAGCAGAACATAAAGAAAATGACAGGTAGGTCTGAGCCAGCTGTTGCTTTTTTCTTTTTCAATTTTTTTCATTATCAAATGATTGATCAATCATGTATGATTTATAATAGAAGAAAAAGCCATACATGCTGCTAGAACCCTAAGAAAACCACGTACTAAGTAGACAGAACGTTGAAGAGCTGGCCCAGGTGCTGAGAATATATGTTTTTAGAAAATTGGGTTTGGATGCGTGTGTCAGTGCAGAGGGAAGCTCCACGAGCTTAGTGTTTGTGGTCCCTGATGCACCGACAAGTAGATAGATAAAGCACCTCCTGTAGCTAACCCGGGTCACACCCAAGGGTAGTGCAGGTTTTATCGATGGAAAAATTGCAGTGTGTCCTAGTGTCCCAACCATTTTCTGTACTAAGTGTCAACAGCTCTTATTTTTGTGACAGACATGAATTAAATGAAAGCCTCATCATCTTCTTACAGTGCGGTGTGCATCCCCCTTGCTTTGCCCCAGCGCACCTGAGAGATGTGGCATGACTTAGAAGGGTACAAGTGACTGCGGTGATCCTTGGTGGTCAGGGAGAGGGAAGGGAAACAGATGGTTCAGGTCTCAGCCTGCTTGTATGTAGTAACTATTTGTGTGGGAAATAATCCAGTCCCTCTCCTCATTTTGGCAAGTAGTCTTTTACAGTGGTAGCTAAGCAGAAGTACAGGGGAGGGAGATAGAGATAGGGATAGGGATAGGGATAGGGATAGGGATAGGGATAGGGATAGAGATATAAGTATATCCCTGGAGTGCAAGGTAAATGAGCAACTTGTAAGAGCACATTGTCTTTCATCAACCTTTCTTTGAAAGCAAACAAAACAGTGAAGGGAAGCAGTTGGTGGAAATAAATTGAATCTAAAAGCTCCTGTCTGAATGTGGAATGGTGGCTTAAGCCATCTTTTTGTTTGAAAAGTCTTCTATCTCTACCAGGAAGAGGGTTGAATGGGAGGGAGGCATCTAGGAAATTAGTCTGCTTTCTTATGATGACACATGTCCTAGAATTCTGAGTGGCCGGTTAGTTCCAAGGATGGTGAAGGACAGTATTCCCCCTTACCTGTGGGGCATACGTTCTGAGACCCCCAGTGAGAGCCAGAAGCCTTGGCTAGTACCAACCCTGTATGAATATGTACTAGTTTTTCCTATACATATGTGCCTATGATGAAGTTTAACTTATGAATTAAGCACAGTAAGCCAAAGACAAATACCACATGTTCTCCTTATATGTGGGGGCTAAATTCCTTTTTTTTTTTTTGACAGGCAGAGTGGACAGTGAGAGAGAGACAGAGAGAAAGGTCTTCCTTTGCTGTTGGTTCACCCTCCAATGGCCGGCGTGGCTGGTGCGCTGCGGCCAGCGCACCGCGCTGATCCGAAGGCAGGAGCCGGGTGATTCTCCTGGTCTCCCATGGGGTGCAGGGCCCAAGGACTTGGGCCTTCCTCCACTGCACTCCCGGGCCACAGCAGAGAGCTGGCCTGGAAGAGGGGCAACCGGGACAGAATCCGGCACCACGACCGGGACTAGAACCTGGTGTGCCAGTGCCGCAAGGCGGAGGATTAGCCTTTTGAGCCACGGCACTGGCCTTGGGGGGTGCTAAATTTCTTTTTAAAAGATTTATTTTATTTGAAAGGCAGAGAGAGAAGAGAAAGAGAGAGATAGAGGTCTTCCATCCACTAGTTCACTCTCCAAATATCTGCAATGGCCGGAGCTGGGCCAGGCCAAAGCCAGGAGCCAGGAGCTTCTTCTGGGTCTCCCTCATGGGTGCAGGGGCCCAAGTTATTGGGCCATCTTCTGCTGCTTTCCCGGGCGCATTAACAGAGATCTGGGTAAGAAGTGGAGCAGCGGTGACTCAAATCCAGCACCAATATGGGATGCTGGCCCTGCAGGCAGAGGTTTAACATTCTATACCATAGTGTTGGCCTCTGGAGAGCTAGAATTTTTAAAAATTAAACACAGTAAGAGGTTAGCAACTGTTTTTAATAATAAAGTCAAATGACCTTGTCTAAATAAGGTCGGAGTCGGTGAACTCAAAAGGCTTCCATAGCCTTGGCAACTCATGACAAAAGCCTAGGGTGATTACTGACGCCATAAATAAGAGTGTCAATTTGTTAAGTCAACAACAGGAGTCACTATGCACTTACTCCTCATGTAGGATCTCTGTCCTTAATGTGTTGTACAATGTGAATTAATGCTATAACTAGTACTCAAATAGTACTTTACACTTTGTGTTTCTATGTGGGTGCAAACTGTTGAAATATTTACTTAATATATACTAAATTGATCTTTTGTATATAAAGATAATTGAAAATGAATCTTGATGTGAATGGAATGGGAGAGGGAGCGGGAGATGGGAGGGTTGCGGGGAGGAGGGAAGTTATGGGGGGGAAAAGCCATTGTAATCCGTAAGCTGTACTTTGGAAATTTATATTTATTAAATAAAAGTTAAAAAAAGGTCAAATAATTATATAATCATAATGTAATAAAATTATGTGAGTATAGTTTTTCTCTTGAGTGTGTCAAGACAAATAGCACTGTTTGCAGGCCACGGTGGGCTGTAACTGAAACCATGGATAAGAGAGGGCTACTGTATACTTTTTGCATGTGGCACAAAAATATTGAATGATACCTTACGATACTCAGATGTTGTGTTTATTAGAAGGGATCAAGTTGATGCAAACAACAGTATGCAATAGACATTGTAAGTGTGCCTACTTTTTTGTTTAAACTGTTCATGTGTCCTGCTCTGTTACAGCCATACGCAGTAGCACATCTGAAACTTTGTGCTGGAGTCATGATCACCGCCTCTCACAATCCAAAGCAGGATAATGGTTATAAGGTATTTCGATTTTTCTCTCCACGTAGGGGTCCTTCTGCAGGAATCCTATGCCTTTATACGAGAGAGCCTTGGTTACAGATGCTTTCTTTCCATTAGCCCTAAACTTTCTCAACGTCTCCGGGGTTCTCCAGGTCTATTGGGATAATGGAGCCCAGATCATCTCTCCACATGATAAAGGGATTTCTCAAGCTATTGAAGAAAATCTGGAGCCATGGCCTCAAGCGTGGGATGATTCCTTAATCGATGTCAGTCCGCTTCTTCATGACCCAATGACTTCCATCAACAGTGCCTACTTTGAAGACCTTAAAAAATACTGCTTTCACAGGTAATTGGATTGTGTCTACACTGACCTCAAGTGAGTTACGTTAATGTGATTCAGTCAAACTCTTATCAGTTTTCACCGAGTTTTTGTTTGTTTATTAATGAGTGCACGTGAGAGCTGAGTCTGATCGTAGAAGCTGTGGGTCGGGGTGACAGAGTTTTCTTAGAGGAACAGGTAGTGAGGCTTGTTCTCAACAACTCACCCCTGCTGTCCTGTTAGGAAGACAGCCAGAGCTGATACGTCAGTGACAGAGTGCACACTCAGCTGTGTGCCGCTAACAGTGTAACACAGAGGTGACCAGCCCCCGGCCTTAGTTTGCTCTTCTGTTGTAGATTCCTCTGTACCCACCATTTCTGCATCTGTGGGTTCAACCAACTGCAGATTGAAAATAAATTGCACCTTTGATGAACAAACGTGGGCTTTTTTTCCTTGTCATTATTCCCTGAACAATACGGTGTAGCTATTATTTTCACAGCATTTAGCTTGTGTCAAGTATTGTAAGCCATCTAGAAACAATGTAGAGTGTAATAGGAGGTTATGGTAGGTCACAAGCAGATGCTGCACCATTTTATATAAGGGACTGGAGCAGCACAGACTCTGGTATCCAAGGGGGATCCTGGAACCAACCCCCTGAGGATACTAAAGGACAGTGTGTGTGTGTGTGTGTGCGTGTGTGTGTGTGTGTGTGTGTGTGTAGGGAACACTGGCATGTTTCTTATCTTACAGAAGTTTTCTGTGCATATGTAAAAATATGTATGAAGGGACTGAAAAAGTTCATGGAAAATGCATATTATGAAACAAATCTATGCATAGATTTCAACTTTTTTATACCAAAATAAGCTTATCTTTTTAATTCCATTTTCTTTTTCAACCTTTTTGAAGTGCCATCATGTGTATCACAGACCTCCAATCTGTAAGGAAGGGGTGTGGAGTGCGGGTCGTTCCTTCTTTGCTTTCCCCCATTAGTTTCTTGTGGATCCCTTTCTCGTCTCCTTCCTGCTAGTCCTGACTTGTTTCAGAGGCCGCTGCGCCCATTGGTCTAACCCCAGGACACACTGCCAGGTGTGAAGCTGCTAAGCTGCAGGTCCCACCACTCTCAGTTGTCTCCTGGGCAAGAGGCCCCTAATTTTCAGAAGCTCAGTTCCTACGTTGTCTCTTGCTGGACCACCCGGGAGGGGCAGGTGCAGCACAGAGCGTGGACGCTAGTCCAGTCTGAAGGGGTGACCACACCCACTGAGTGTTACTGTTATGGGCTGCATTAGGGCCTAAATTAAGTTTCCAGGTTCTTACCTTTTACTTAGAGAAGAATTCTAAATACAGACCCAAACACAGCATGCAGAGTGATAAACTTTATTTACAAAGTGAAAAAAATATGCAGGCCCATTAGGGCTGTGTTTCGGGAAAGGGGGCCAAAGAAAGGGAATTATACCCTGCTCTGCTTGTCCTGAGTCCATGTGGAGGAGAGAGCACACTTCCGCTCTTCCTAGCTTTTTAGGAGCTTAGAAAAACAGAAGTGTTTAGGTGGTACCACCCCCACGTCCCAGGTAAGAGGGGGTACTTCCTGGGGAAGGGTCCCCTGATTGATAGATAGATGAACGTGGCAACACAGAGCGAAGGAGCTGTGGGTTCCAGCTCATGAACTTAAAATTATCTATCTAAGCTTTCCCACATCATTCCCCACTCAGAGATTTCTGAGCCTTAATCTTTAGGGTATGCTGAAGGGCACAGACTCATTCTATCTTCTGTAGCTGCTTCCTGCTGATCAGGGACGCAGGCCCTGCCTCTCTGGGGCCCAGAAATCTCTTTGTCTCTGTCTTATCTAATGACTCCATTATGAGCTGGAGAACTTTCAGTCATCACCAATGCCTGCATCCCCCACACAGTCATTATTTTCAAACGTTCGATTCTGAACCACACAAGTTTATCAGTCAACATGGGCAAAACAGGAAGAAAACAAATTGCTAGGGCCCTTTAAGATGGAAAGAATATATTCTAATGTTTAGTGGGTAGTGATAGGCTCTCCTTGTGCAGATCATCAAACCATTTGGTCTGATATTTATTTATTTATTTATTTGAAAGTCAGAGAGAAAGTTACACAGAAAGAGGAGAGACACACAAAGAGAGAGAGAAGTCCTGCATCTGCTGGTTCACTCCCCGTAGCTGGAGCTGCACAGATCTGAAGCCAGGAGCCAGGACCCTCCTCTGAGTCTCCCACATGGGTGCAGGGGCCCAGGTGCCTGGGCCATCCTCCACTGCCCTCCCAGGCCACAGCAGAGAGCCAGATTGGAAGTGGAGCAGCCAGGACTGGAACCGGCACCCATATGAGATGCTGGCACCACAGGCAGCAGCCCCATCCGCCTCGCCACAGCACCGGCCTCTAGTCTGATTTTTTTTTAAAGATTTATTTATTTATTCAAAAGTCAGAGTTACAGAGAGCAGAGAGGCAGAGAGAAAGAGGTCTTCTATCTGATGATTCACTCCCCAGTTGACTACAACAGTCAGAACTGTGCTGATCTGAAGCCAGGAGCCAAGAGCTGCTTCCGGGTCTCCCATGCGGGTGCAGGGGTCCAAAGTCTTGGGCCATCTTCTACTGCTTTCCCAGCAGAGAGCTAGATTGGAAGTAGAGCAGCCCGGTCTCGAACCGGTGCCTATATGGGATGCCGGCACTTTAGGCCAGGGCGTTAATCCGCTGCACCCACAGCGCCAGCCCCTGATTTTTAATGTCTTTTTTAGTAAACATAGACTGAGTAAAGCAGATTCCATCAATCACTGCATATGTTCCTCCTTGTCTTTTTAAGATTTATTTATTTATTTGAAAATCAGAGTTATATATAGAGAGAAGGAAAGGCAAGGAGAGGGAGAGAGAGAGAGAGAGACAGATCTTCCATCCTCTGGTTCACTCCCCAATTAGCCACAACAGGTGGAGCTGCACCAATTCAAAGCCAGGAGCCAGGAGTTTTTTCCGAGTCTCCCATGGGTGCAGGGCCCAAGGGCTTTCTCAGGCCATAGCAGAGAACTGGATTGGAAGAGGAGCAGCTGGGACTCGAACCATCCCCCATATGGGATGCCGGCACTGCAGGCAGCAGCTTTACCCACTGCACCACAGCACCAGCCCCCCTTGTTCTCTTAATATATATCTTAAGGCCTGTTGATTGCCCGTAACTACCTTGGACAGAGTGTCCACAGACATAAGTACTTGCTGTAAAAGCTGGCCTGAAGTGTTAGCCAGATTGCCAAAAGCAATGGTCAGATTTTTAAAATCAGCTTCATGAGGCACACTAGGATCTTCTGACATAATAAAACAACTCACTAAGGATTTTTCCTGCCAGTAACAGCTCCCAGAGAATATCAAAAGAAAACGTAGGTAAAATATGTATGTCTTAAAGTATAGCAGTCTTGGGGCTGGCACCGTGGCGCAGTAGGTTAATCCTCCGCCTGCGGTGCCGGCATCCCATATGGGCGCCGGTTCTAGTCCCGGCTGCTCCTCTTCCAGTCCAGCTCTTTGTTATGGCCTGGGGAAGCAGTAGAAGATGGCCCAAGTGCTTGGGCCCCTGCACCCACATGGGAGACCCAGAAGAAACTCCTGGGTCCTGGCTTCAGATCGGCTCAGCTCCGGCCATTGCGGCCATTTGGGGAGTGAACCAACAGAAGGACGACCTTTCTCTGTCTCTCCCTCTCACTGCCTATAACTCTCCCTCTCAAATAAATAAATAAAATCTTTTTAAAAAGTACAGCAGTTTTGATGTGACAAAAGCAAAAAGCTTTACGTGTCATTTTGCTTTTTGAAGAAGGATTTAAGATCTTTGGCTCACAGGAATAAACAAACATGTCTTTCGGGTTCACTTGTGAAGACTCAAGGGGTGGAAGTTTAATCTTTGACAAATGCACCAGGCTTGGTATGCCCTGTTTCATGGATGGGGGCATGCTCAGTAACAGCTGGTAAGGTCCCTTCCATTTAGGCTGCAGCTGGTCTGAAGGGGATCCTTCCTTCCAAGTTTTTAATAAGACTAAATCCTGGGGAAGTAGGCTGCTCTTGAGTTTTAGGATCTGGCTCTGGGAGAACTTTATTACCATACTCTATCAAAGCCTCTGATCTTGAAATTTCTGAATCAAAGAGGATGTCAGAGGTGAGGAAAGGCCTTGCATACGGCATCTCATACGGACTAAGCTTTAAAGCAGTCTTGGGTGCTATTCTCATCCTGAGAAGGGCAATAGCCAATAGTTTAAGCCTCATTTCTGAGGTCTCTAGGTAAAGCATAGCTAGAATTTTGTAAGACTATGATTAGCCTTTTCAGCTTTACCCGGTGACTGAGGTCTCCAAGAGGCATGGAGATGGGAAGAAACTCGTAGAGCAGCAGTTACCCGTTGAGTTATTTTAGATACAAATGAAGGTCCATTGTCACTCTGGAGTGACTGTGGGAGTCCAAAGCATGGCACAGTGTCCTTAAGCAAGGCTTTCGACACCTGCTGTGTCTTCTCTGTTTGAGCTGGGAAGGCTTCTATCCATCCTACGAAAGTATCCATAAAAACTAGAGGATGTTTGTAATTATTTCTTTGGAGGCATATTAGTAAAGTCACTCTGCCAGTCTCCACCTGGATATGTTCCTCTCCTTTGTACAGGAGTCAGCAAAGGAGGTGGTCCTACATGACCAGCAGAGTTATTTTGTAAACAAAGTGGGCAAGAACGAGTTACTTCCCTTATGGCAGCACTTAGTCCCTTCCCTCCGAACACTCGAGAGTCTTCTTGCATTAAAGTTCCTCTTCCCAGATGAGTAGAGTCATGTATTTCCTGAATGATTTTACATTGAGAGGCCTTTGGGAGCATAACTGTGAGATCTAAAGTCCACCATCCACTAGCATCTTTCATATAACCTCATTGTTGGGACCATTCGATCTCAGACTCACTACAGGGAGGCCCTGCACTCATTGCTACAGCTGAGTATTAGGGCCAACTCCAGAACTTGCTGTGCGGTAGATTTTTTGCTGCCTTATCTGCTGTTGCA